AACTTGGTATCTGTAGTTTTACAAACTACATGTATATCACTTATTTTAGTAACATAATTTATGCCATTGGACCCAAACTAAATTGGAAAAAAAAAATAAAAAATAAAAGCTATCCCACCAACAATTTAAATCTCAAAGGACATTTTAGTAAACCCAACTCACCTTCCAAACCAACAACCAGCCTACATGTTGTTGGCACATACTAAAAAGTAAAATAATCTAAACACCCCTTTATATATATGTATATTATATCTACCTATTAATTCCAACATCACAATCCAAGAGATTATATTTTCATCTGTCACAAGTTGCAACAGAAAGGAGAAGAATGGGTGCAGAGGGCGAAGAAAGCAGGTCGGCAAAACTCATCGGTTTTGTGTCCTTACTCCTCCAGCGTGTGGCTGAGTCGAACGATCTTAGATGTGGGGCCCGCGCTCAGAAGATGTCGGTTTTCCACGGCCTCACGAGGCCAACAATCTCCATCCACAGCTATCTGCAGAGGATCTTCAAGTACGCAAATTGCAGCACGTCGTGCTACATTGTGGCCTATGTTTATCTCGACCGATTCACACACACCCATCCAACTCTCAAAATCAACTCTTTCAATGTGCACAGGCTGCTTATCACTAGTGTCATGCTCTCTGCTAAATTCATGGATGACATGTGAGTGTTTTTTTTTTTTTTTTTTGATTTTAAAAGTGTTGATTTTTTTTTTTCTTCATCTTAAACTATTATTTGTTCATTTGTATTATCTTGTGTGGTTGATTTGGAGTGTATATATGCTGCTTGGTGCCTTATGGTGAGATTACTGATTTCATGTTCCGAATCTTGAATTCGAATTTGCTGTTAAATTTTGTTGCTTTCGAGTTGTGTGTGCTCTGGAATTGAATCAGTTGTGTTTTTAGAGCTTTTGCTTTTGTACTTGGTTTTTCTTGATTGTGCCAACAACCTATATATATATATATAACTGTGAAACCCAGCTATTTCCTTCAATATTTGTCTCCATACTATTTAAAACACATTGAAAAAACAAAAATATGATGAAGGGTCTCATTCCAGCATTCATAACAGAAAGCTACGGTCCAACGAAAGCTTAAAGCTGACAACTTTTCATGTCATGGACTAATGCCCTCTTAACGTTCTAACGCATTAGAAAACGATATTTTTGTAAAATCACACTTCCTTACAATATAAGAGTTTTATTTTTAATGATGGTATTATCTCTGAATAATAGATTCAGTTTTTCTTATTCTTTCATGTACGTATCATGATAAGACGTAAATCTCTTTTGTTTTCACATTTCATCTTTTTATTATAAGTAAGATTTATCCTGTGATATGAACCCAGGTATTACAACAATGCATATTATGCGAAAGTGGGAGGGATCAGCACAAGAGAGATGAACATTCTTGAAGTGGATTTCTTATTTGGATTGGGATTTCATTTAAATGTGACCCCATCAACTTTTCATTCTTATTGTTCTCATCTCCAAAAAGAGATGATGATCATGCAGCCTCAGCCTCAGCTCAACATTTCAGAGGACCCCTGTGTGTTATATAATAGGAAATCATCATCATCATCATCATCATCAAAAAACTTAATCCATTTGTGTTTTAATGAAGATGAATCGTCATCTCACCAACAACAACAGCAACTTGCTGTTTGACATTATTGCATTTTTTCATTTTCTTTACTGGAGTTAGGTTAGATGAAGGATGCCTTTTAAATTTTCTCTCTCTCTCTCTCTCTCTCTCTCTCTCTCTCTTTTTCAAGTGGATTATTGGGTTGGAAATTTGGGCCATGATTGTACTTGTGGTCTCATTGGACCTCTCTTGTTGTTTGTTCCTTGTTTATCAGTGACTGTTTGGCATTTAATCCAATGGAATGTACAGTGATTGTTTCTTGCTCAGACACTCAGTAATTGGTTAAGTTTCATGTTCTTCATCTCTTAGTTACATTGTCTTGTTCAGTTGTTCGTCATGAGGACTTTTAGTCCAAAGCAAAATTTCTGCAAGCATACAACAAAATATATCTGTCAAGGCTTTTCTTGATTTTAAACAGACTAATTTTAATGTAATGAAAACTGAATAAGTTTTGCTGGTGACTGGAGGAAAAAGGTAAAAGGGTACAAAAAGTGGTGTGGTTAATTTTTAGATTTGAAGACAAGTAAATGTGAGTTGACAGTTGTATTTGATTATGAGAAGGAAACATAGTACATCTGTACATGTGCAATACAAAATACTCTCAAGTGCAGCATGTGCAATGATTCATTGAGGCAAGACAGAAATAGAGTTCTTCTCCTCTGAATTATAGTTAAGGATATTTTAATACTAGTGTCTCTAGCTTTGATTAGTCACCCTAATTGTGGAAATAAGGATACATGCTTTCATATGTGTTAAACACAATTGGGTTAACTCATCATTCTCAAATTAAAATATGTACCTATCTAACCATTTTCGACACCCATTAAACTTAATTATAACCATATTTGTATATTTTTCAAATGTTTGTGTCTGGAGAAGTAGCAAATAGATATCTAGCAACTTGTTTGGAATGTATTCCAGTTAATTTAAAGATAAGATAGAACTCAGTGTTTGTCAACTCACCTCTGAGCAGTGAGTTTCATTATTGCGGCATTTAGCCCAAATCATAAGCAAACTAACAATTCAGTCCTCTGACCCAAAGATTTCATGCTTATTCCGGAGAAAATTACTCCCTACACCATATATTTTATTTTTTATTACACAATTAAACATCTATAGTAAATATTAACAATCCTACCTAAAATCATGTTTTTATTTGTAAATATACCAGAAAACATCTATCTATATTAGTTAATGATGAATTAAATCATTAATTACATATCTTTAAGGAAACAAATAATTTCTCTTCCCCCAATTACGTTTCTTTCTCCCTATCTCTCTTATTCTTCTCTCTCCCCTTCCATCTCCCTTCTCTTATTCTTCACTTCAGCCCGTAAGATTAACCTTCCCAACCTCTCGTTTTTCTTTTGACATCGCCGACGAACAACCCTAGATCCGCTCCTTCCTTCCCAGAATTACTTTTCGTTCCTTCTCCATCCCACTTGCAGAAGTCTGAACATTAGGGTTCATGGCGGAAGTTCGAACATTAGGGTCCAGGCGTGGAAGGGAAAGACAGAGAGAATGATGATGAAAGCCGTGAAAAATCGAGTACAAGAAGGGAGGAGAGGAAGAGGGATTCTGAAAGAGATGACAGGAGCAGGATAAACTAAAAAGAAGATGAGAATGAAGAAAATGGATATGAAGGATTAATTGTATGTATATGTATATGTATGTATATGGGCATCGATGAGAAAGAGATCTGATTCAATATTAAACGTAGTCCCTAATGTGGTTTTTGTATATTTTCTGTGTATGTTCTGTATATAATGACAAGATTGATTTATCTTTTGTGTATTTTCTTTTATGTCCTATGTATACAATGAATATATCTTCTGTATATGTTCCCGACAAATATACTGTTATTTAGTATATGTTTCGTTTATACTGATACACTTTTCAATCTTTATATACTGTATAGACTTTTAACTAAGTTTTTAACTAATCAACTGTATATATTATATGTATATATTGAGTATATAGAACTGCAACAATTATTTTTTTTTTTTAGAATATATTACGGGATAGTATCAACAAGATCGATTGAATTTTTGAATCTTCTTCAATTTTGTTGCGTCATACGATAGGTAATATACACATTCCATTTATTTTTTATTTTTATTTTTTGCAAATAAAACGGCTCATTCAAATCCTATTATTTAAGGAGAGTGATTTATGTTTGTTGAGGTAACCGCAACATTTAATTTCCACACATTAGGTAAACTTGCAAATTAATTAATTTACTTGGCAATATTGCAATTAAATAGTAAATGCCGTGTAGAGATAAAATTCTCTACATTTTCAATTATTCATTAAATCATCATAAGTTATATTTAATTGAGGAATTTTAGCTCAATAAACTATTGTTGGGATTCAATCAAAAAGAAAGTAAAACTTTTTGCAACTCACTCCGGTGAACGGTAACAAGTGTAAATAGCACCATATTTATTTCACACATAATACTAACCAAAGCACGCCACCGCCACCGGCCCACCATTCATCTTCACAGCCACCACTTGAGGCGGCGGACCCCATAATCCACGGTCAAGTCAACCCATAATTCAAAGCAAACCTCCCAAAAACGAAAAAAGGAAAATAAATAAATAGCTGAAATGACGAAATAGCCCACCAGCCACGCTGCCACGCCCCTGGTCTCGCGCACGTTAGCCTCCGCCCCCTCTTCCTCCTCTCTCCACCGCCTCCTTTTAACAACCCTAATGCCGCTCCCCTCATTCACGCCACAACCCTCCGCCGCCCCCTCCCCACTTTCTCTCTCAACCTCCAATTATTCACCAGATCGTCGATTGCAGAAACAGCCATGGCCGCCACGACCTTGTCCCCGTCCTCATCCTCCCCTCGCGGTGACGACGACCGCCACATCCCCACCGCCCTAGCCCTCCCCGCAGCGACCGCCGTCGTCGCCACCGCCGCCCGCCGCCTCCCTCCCCCGTGCTGGTCGCCCGACGAGACGACGGCCCTCATCGACGCCTACAGGGATAAGTGGTACTCCCTCCGGCGCAGCAACCTCCGCGCCAACCACTGGGAGGAGGTCGCCGCCGACGTCGCGCTGCGCTGCCCCGGCACGCCCCCGAAGACCGCCGTCCAGTGCCGCCACAAGATGGAGAAGCTCCGCAAGCGGTACCGCGCCGAGATCCAGCGGGCCGCCGCGCGCGGCGGCGTCCGCCGGTATGCCTCGTCGTGGGCCCACTTCCAGGGGATGGACGCCATGGAGAAGGGATTCGGCGGCGATCCGTCCTCCTCATCCTCAGATGGCGAGGAAGACGAGGATGATGACGGACGCAGAAACAGCATCAAGCGCATCAACGATTTGTACAATCACGGCCACAAACAAAAGGGCTATTCACAGCCGCTGGATCATGGGGCAGCAGCCGGGGTCCGGATCAAGATCCCGGGCGGGATGCCACCCACTGCCAAGGCCTACAACATGTCCGATGAAATACCACCCACACGGAACCCTAACCCTAGATTTCCCGGCACTTCATATGGACCCGGCCCGAACAGGGTTTTCGGAGATGGGTTTTTGGGAAGGAATGAAATTGGGAAAAGGGCCGGCGAGAGCGTGAAGAGAAAGAAAATGGATGCTGGTAGTGGCAGTGAGGTGGCGGCGGCAATTCAGTCCTTGGGAGAGGGGTTTATGAGAATGGAGAAGGTGAAAATGGATATGAGGAGGCAAATTGAAGAGATTAGGATGGAGATGGAGCTCAAGAGGACCCAAATGATCCTCGAGTCGCAGCAGAGGATTGTCGAGGCTTTTGCAAAGGCAATTACCGAAACAAGTGCTCACAAGAAGCAAGAAAGGATGCATTCTATGCCCGATTGCTGAAAAGAAGATCGGTCTCTCGAGGTAAAGTGAGCCACTTGGCGTTTCTTGTTGCTGCTTGCCAAGTACAAGTATAAAGGCAAACAGTCTCTAATTGTGTATGTAACTTGGAGATTTGGGTTATTTATTCTGCTTCTTTTTTTTTTTTTTTTTTTTNTGATTTGGAGTTTGGTCACTCTCTAAAGGTTGGATTTTTCAGCATATTTAAGCATTTGTTGATTTGCAGGCAGCCATTGGCATTGCCCATTGAACTTACTTGCTATTTATATGCCGTTGCATTTCAAAGTTGTACGGTGCTATGGGTTCTGCCTGTCATTGTGACCCATCTGCATTTAGAAAGTTCTAGTATGTCTTGATGTCTATGTTTTGTTCTCTTCCTAATTTGTTCTGAGATGGGGTTACCATTTCTCCAACTAGAAAATAACCATCGTTTTGTTTGTGATGGCTTTCCATCCCAATGTGAGTTATGATGAGTTGGGTTCATCTTGTAGAAATTGGTTCTTTAATGGTTGTTACTTACTCCAAGCCACTTCGGAATATGGTGTTTTTATGTTTATTTTGTGGGATATTTCAGGTTTGATTTATCATTTCTTGATTATGAGGAACTTTTTGCAATGTGTATTTTCAGTCACTTCTTGCATCTTCAGTCACCATATGAGACGACAAGGCTAAGGGTAATTACTGAGGAACCTTTTGCAATGTGCTTTAAAAATTTTCAGGTTCACCAGATGAGACGACAAGGCCAAGGCTAATTTTCATTATACGTGCTCTGTTGTACATTAGGGTTAAATATTTTAGTTTTAGTTGAGGTTATGGTCAAAAGGAGTCCTTTACTAAATCTGTTGTGTTCGAGGCTTTACTTCCCAGCAGTGTTTATTTTATGTTACTCCTTTGTTGCAATGACTGGGCTCAGTGGAGACTTTACTTAATTGATTTGCAAAATTCTTTGTGTGAAAATGAGAGACATATATCATCTCCAAAAACAGAGAAGTTGTTTCCTTTTCTTCTTTATACTCTCTCTCTAAAATAAAGAGCAACGTCTTCTTTCTCTTCCCCTCTATCCTTTGATTTTCCTTTTTAGTTAGAATTGGGCTCAATTTTTCATATTAAGGTTTAGGAGGGGCTTTTAAGCGTGTTGGATTATTCCTGCTAGCTCGATCCATTTTGACATTGTGTTTAGTAGTTGTGTTTTAACCTGCTTCTGTCATTTGCTTTGCTGGTCGTTTCAATCTGTACAATTAAGTGGTTTAGTTGTTGTGTTTTCACTTAATTGGCTCCTATGTGGACCAATTGGTATGCTTGCGCTCTTGGCTTTTCAAGTTTTTACATATTAATATGACCAAGTTACCATTATGTAATTCATTCGGATACAATCAATAATCAATAATGTCAAGAATACTACGTAGACTACATATCTGGTTTACATTTTTATAAATACCAACATAGTTGTACAAAAAAAAAATATAAATGAAAATGGCTACAAAATGATCTGTATAAACACCCCTTGGGAGTACATGAAAAGAGAACAGCATTCCTCAACTCCCATCTGAAAAAACCTCAGACCCTGTGAACACTCATACATCACTTGAACACAAACAAATGAGCATCACATGTTATTTGAGTTCCTAAAACAACCTGGAAGTCACGTGACATCAGAGAGAACTTCTTTACATTGTATATCTTAGTTCAACCATGTACCAGCCCGAATTAGTAACTGAAGCAAACTCCCCACACTCGATTATTCGAAATACTAAAAAAAGGCATGTACGTAAAAGGAATTTCTACAATGCAAAAATGACAAGTCATGTCATTATAGAAATTTCTACAATGCAAAAACACATTTAAGACGTAAAAGGAATGCACATCAACCCTTCAAAATATAGACACACTCTCCTACTGTTGGGCTCCTTTGGTCATTAACTCGAAACTCAATGGGATTTTTGTAACTATCCACTTAAAGAGAAGAAAAATAAAGAGAGGATATAAAGAAAAAAGTGCAGACCATCTGAGTTTTTAAACCCTGAAAAGAGTAATATATATATTTCCTTCAAAGTTTAAAGTGAACTAAAGGACTAGAACGCATATTCATTGCCCCTGATGACTTGAACTACGAGGGAATATTCACCCAAGACCATTGAACCTTGACGGCATTACTTCTCAATGCATTTGATCAGACCAAAAGACCAAACGAAACAAATCCAACTTCTGCTTGCTTAAAGTCCAACTTTTCCTATGTTATTAGGTCCGATAGAAAGACTATACTAAAATTCCCTAATTTTAATGTGATTTCTCCACTAAATACCACTTAAGTTGAACAAAACCAATTCAACTTATGAGGTGAGAACAAACAAGGCGGCTTCAAGCAAAGATATAACATACGCCAAAGTTGTATCAGAAGATGCATGTATCATCAGCCACCTAAACTCAGAAGAAAGCTACAGACATTGTACTGAAATGTCGTCTTGTTAAGGAGACCAACCAGAAAATAACTCAATGAAAATTTTCTTGGTCTCAGGAAAGTAGTCTCTTTCACTTCATAGGAACGCCAGACCTCCAAAATAACACCTAATTAATCAGACATGTATGATTCCTATAGCACATAATGAGAAATACAATGCTACTAAGAAGTCTTGATTCAGATAATGTAGAAGGTTCCAGTTCCAACATGCTCATCTCATTTCCATAAATGTAACGGTGTGCTAATCCAGTAAATAGATTCATTTCTGAGCATTTGTAAAAGCGCGTAAATCCATTAATGAGTAACCAGAGCCAGAAACTCAATTGACATTCTTCCAGAGCATCCGTAGTCATTTCCATTTGTCTTGGTGGACCTCCTTGAATTGGAAAACGAATAGATTGCAACCATTTTATGCTTTGGTATAGGAAAGTTATATCTTGCTTATCCAATAACCTGCACCTACCAGCAAAACATATGGACCCAAAATCCACATGCCATACGACTTTTGAGGCTTTTCCATATTGTTGTTTTCTCCTCGAAACATAAAATGCATACTTTTCCGTAAGTTTTGTGTGCAACAATAGGGGGGAAGTACCTTAACACATTTTTTTATAAAACATCACATCCGGTAGACGGTCTCGTCTTAGTTCTGAAACTTAACAACCCGTACAGCATTTTATAAATAATAGAATCCAATCCGTTACATCTACAAATAGTTTGTTGTGCATCAAAACACCTTAAGATAATACTCGTATTTGTCTCTCAAACCATGAAAATTTCTTATGTCCGAATAATATCTCATCTGGAAATGTGAGCATTAAAATTTCATAATTGAAACCTTCCACATCCTAGAGCAGCCTCTCCTCAACTCCATTTCTGTCATACAACAAGTTGGGAAACGAGAATGATCATGTGACTCTGATTCCATCAAGCACCCCGTTTGGTCAAAGGAGGCATAAACTACGGGTTAAGACGGTGGTCATGTAAACCAAAAACCATGAGACATATTACTCTCCTTTAACAGTGTTAATAAGAGCTAATGCAACATGATAATATCACGTTATACATAAACATATATGTTGCGAGTGTGTGTGGACTGTTAACCATTGCTGCGTACCTCAATAGTATGACCTGGAACCACTGCTTCCCATATAGCTACTTCCACCCAAACCCCGTCCAGGGTAAAGTGAAGAATAAGAGCTACTGTCAACCTGCCACAAGTATCAATAAATACAAAAGGAATGAAAAATAAATATGCCAAGATAACTGAATGTACATGTATGTAAATAAAAAAAAAAAATCAAAAAAAAAAAAAAAAAAACAAAAAAAAAAAAACAAAAAAAAAGATTTCTAGGCATACATTACTCCCACGTGACATATAACCACCACCAGAGCTTGATGAGTACATCCCACCAACATTGCTACCACCATAAGGACCTGAAAGAGGAGAGAGACTACGTAACCATAAATGGTATTGCCAAATTGACAGCTTCTGTTGAGTATGGACTACAACCCAAAGCATACCTCCATTGTAACCCATTCCTTGACGACCACTGTAAAACCCATGGGGATCTTGACTGGGTAAAGAGCCTCGACTTCCACCATAACCAATGTTTGACCTCCCTAACCTATCATCAATAAAAGACAGCAGATCAATAAAGGAGAACTTTTACAGAAAAGATAAAGCCACTAAAAAGATCACAAGTATATACATCCATGACTGACCTATCACTGTAAGCATCACCATAGTGAGAAGCTCCACTACCAAGATCATAATCTAGACGTGCACGAGAGTGACGCATCCCAGCCTCGGAATAGCGTGGAGGGCCATCATCCTTACATGAATTTTTCAACATTAATCCAAGATCTCATACTGAGACAGTACAAAAAGATTTATGTGAAGATGGCAAGATATACAAAGTTATTCCAGGAAAGTACCAAGACAGCATATGGGCGTTTAGAACCAGGCATAGAAACGTATTCACGACCACGTGCATCCCTGTAACTTGGAGGAGGCCTTTCATACCTTTGACTGTAGCCATCATCCACATAAGGTCTTCTTTCTGCAGACCTCGGAACATCAACTCTAGGATAATCAGGGTAAGCAGGTGCGCGAGGAGGATAATCGTCTTTATATTGCATACGTCTATCTGAAACTTCTCGATAGCTGTAGTCTACTGCAGCTCTGCTTCTAGGATGAAGCTCCTCTCGGTGACCATAATCCCTCTTCAAACCGCTCTTGGAGTATGATGTAACTGAATAAAGTATATTAGGACATAAATGCAAATAAAGCAGAAAAAAATAATCAGTTTGAAGTTCCTAGCATACCAGGCGGCGGCGGCCTCCTGTCATAGGACCTCGGTAAGGGAGCAGCTGGCCTACTTCGAGGAGGAGGAGGAGCCACGACTGGTCTTCTATCCCGAATCCCAGCAGGTCTTCTATACCCGCGATCAGCTACAGGAGGAATACGCGATCCAGTTCCTACAGACCCACGGAAGGAGGCACTACGGTTAACAGGGCCACCCCATGGACTCCTAGCACCTCTAACTGACCCACGCACAGGCCGCGAGTCACCTCGAGCAACGCTCTTCCCTTTGCCTCTCTGAAGGGGTCTTGACAATCTTGCCCTAACTTTAACCTAAAACATAACCGCAATTCAGCATGGTCGTAAAATCAATAATGGAAATATTATAGATTACAATTTCAGCAGAAACCTTATCATCTCCTCCGCCCAGCTCCTCATTGTTGATACTTTTAGCGCAAATAACAGCAGCATCATGGGTGTCAAATGTAACAAATCCAAAATCCTTTCTCCTGGCCGATGGCATATTACGGGCAAGCTCAATTTTCTCAATCTCCCCATACTTCTCAAGAAGATTCTTCACATGCTCGTCAGCCCAAGATGCAGATATACCATCCACAAAAACAGTCTTAACCTGAAGTCAAGTTTCCCAGGTCAATAAAGCATAAAGGAAAACTTAAAGAGTGTACAATGCATTTATATAGGTACATATGAGCTATCAACAGAACAGTGACCATCAAACTTGAATGTAAACAAAGATTGACATATGCTTCTACTATTTGCATCTTAATGGTACACATGATGTCGAAGTCAACTATCAAACACTGTCAACAATATGCATGCCTCAAATAATATCTAAAAGATGTACCTTAGCCATTATTTCATCACCGGGGTCGATAAAGGAGTCGGCAAAAGAAACTTTTGCGGGCCTATCTACTCCAAATACTACATCCCTCTTCTGTAGACGCTTAAAAGCATCCATGGCATCAGATCGGGACGAGAACTCCAGGAAGGCAAAGCCTCTGTTTAACCCCGCAGTGTTACTGTCTTCAACCAATGTCAAATCCTCAAGATCCTTAACACCATAATGCCTTAGCTTCTCTTTCAACTAGAACACATTGCAAACAGTGGATCTCAATTAAGCAGCAGTCTACATTTAAATCATATTGATGATCTACAATAACTAATCTACTTACAGCCTCTTTTGTCCATGTCTTGCATATGTTACCCACAAACAGAGTATCACTGTCCTGGCTAGGAATAACACCACACTGCTTGCCATTAACCTGAAATTTGGGTTCATCAAAGAAATGCATGCAACTCACAGGCAAAACAAAGTAGTTGGAACAGGTAAGGAGTTATGAAAATACCACTGGATTTCTCAACTGAGCACAAGCTCGTTTTGCTTGCTCCACAGTTGCAAAACGTAGAAAAGCAAAACCCTTGTTTTTCTTTGTCTGAGTATTCATCATAAGTCTAACTTCAGTAACCTCACCAACTTCACCGAAAACTTTCCTAAGATCACTCTCAGTAGCATCCTTGTCCAATCCGCCAACAAAAATTTCAAACTCCTTCCGCTTTCGTCTCTCCTTTACAACTTCATGCTGTTCTTCTTGCTCGGCAGCATCATACATCTCAGCATGACCCTCCCCCTCATGCTCATCTTCTTCATCAGGTTCAAGTTCTTCAGGAGCACCTACCGCTTCCTCAACCAAGTCACCCTCGTCATCACCAACATCCACTTCTTCAGGATCTTCCTCCGGTTCACCTTCGTCTTCTTGAGGATCTTGCTCAATTTCCTTGTCATCATAATCTACACTTCCATATTCTTCAGGTTCATACTCAGGTTCATTATCCTCCAAGTCCAACCGCTCATCTCTCTCATAATCATCAATGGATACTTTAGCATAAGTGTCCTCTGCCAAGTGAAAACAGGGTCACGGGCATCCATGTAAATGTCAATTGGCTGAAATAAATAAAGGGGAAGACCATATGCACCAGCGACAACGGTGTGCAAACTATTGTTCTATTTCTCAGATATGATAAATCACATAAATATACCACTCACATTCTCAGAGATAGAGAGCAACTGCATTCTCTCATCACGAATATCAAAGGAGCCAAGTAGGTATTCGACTAAAAGAACCATAAGTACGATGTTTGTCTAATGGTCCCTTTGTCACCGAACCCACAACAATAGCTAGACTAAATCCACCATTCTATAGACTTCAGAAAATTAAAGACGGACGCCTCATGATGCAATAATATTTGTTTGGAATCCATCCAAAATTTTATCCTCAACTTATAGTTTTACGGAACTGCTTTTGAATGTGATGAAACCAGTGAGATCAAATAATGGAGTAAATGCCAGAGTTCCTGATTTGTTGCAATTTATGAGAAACATGGGACAAAGGAAAACTGAGAGAGACGAGGGGTGATGACAAGAAAGAAAATAGAATGAATAAAGAACTGGCATGTGGCACAGAATATATACATAATTATATATTTAAAAATAAAAGAAAATGAAAGCTAGGAACTAGTGCTTTATGCAAGTTCAGCGTGATTAAGTATCTTCATAGCCAACCTTAAGAGAGAGTGACAGGCGTGAAGCCAAGAACAAATGAGGAAAAAATGGAAGGCAGAGTTACCAAAATGCGGCCACGTCATTAACTCGAAAGGAAGGGATACAGAGACAAATTAACCATATACTCTTCAGAAACAACTTTATACCACCTTCATAGAGTTCCAAAGTCCTCCATCTTTAGTCTTTGCTCTCATTGATGCTGGAACTTGTTAAGTAAGTCAACATAATTACTCAAATGAAAAGATGAATTCATCCAACAAGTAGTAGTCACCTAAATTTTGAAACATATCGAGTAGAAAACCAAGCCTATTTTTATGGGCAGAGCCAATATGATTCTTCACAAATCATTACAACTTAGAAAGAACCGCAATTAAAGATGGCAGAAATCAAGCACACTCTGATACACTAAACTAATAATAACACATGGATAAAATAACTTTTAGAATGCGACACGTGGGACATAGCCATATGTTATTAATAAGCTAATAACAAATGATGCGATAGATAATAACATACTTCTTAACAAATGGCAAATGCTACAATCCATTAAACCTAAATAACAAAAGTTCCATTCTTTGCAGCTCAGAACATTATTGAGAGCTCCTTCGGAGTCTACATTAAAGTAAACAACGGTTGCTAAATAAACATGAATCCTCCATGAATACCCCTGATTACGAAGCTACCAAATTCATTTAAGCCCAAATATAAACCAACACGATAAAGAAACGAAAACAACCATCTTCAGAAACGACCCAACACATCCTCAACAACAACAACAACAACAACATACCCAACATACTCAGTATATTCCCAACAGGTTGGGGTCTGAGGGGTCAGTTGTACACAAACCTTACCCTTGTAATTATACAAAGAGGATGTTTCCGTAGCGACCCAAGGTGCATTGCGTCGTTTGATATTTTTTTTTTTTTTCTAGAAACTTCACTATAAACTTCACTAATAGAAGAAGCACTAGAATTTAACTGAGCCATTTTGATCTAGTCCATTATTAGCACTATGCCAGGAGAATTGTCAACAATGACTCTTCCAGCTCCATTTGCAGACAAAACGTGAAACCTTCCATATAATTCATTACTTGAAACCCAACACATCCTCAATCAAGGTAAAACGTGAAACCTTCCATATAACCAGGCAAATGCACCAAACCACCAGATTCACCCGGGAAAACTCACATATCTACTACGATCTACAATCAATTACTTGGTACACGATAATTCATTAACTTTTATTCAAAAAAAAAAAGCAGTATCTTTCACTTACTCTTGGAAGGATCATCCTCAATCTCATTCTGAACGTTTGTATCAGCATCCCCCTCAGCCTCCGTCTCTTTGTCTTCAGTAGACATAGACGGCTTTGTTTCATTCTCATCCATGCCTACTGCCGGGTCCATCCCATTCTCCTCCAGAGGTACCGGCGGCTTTTCCTCCTCAACCCTCACTTCCTCCATAATCACAACCTCCTCCAGTACCTTCGCCGCCGCGGCCCGACCCCGCATAGCTCGCTTGCTGCCCGGCCCAGCCGCAGTCCTCCTCGTCACCCTCGGTGCCATCTATATTTTTCCTCGATTCACCGTTTAAATAGCACGAATTTGTAGCAAAAACAAATAAATAAGTCAAATAATTTGGGTAATTCAGGTGTGTGTGCGCGATTGCAGAATACGAGAGAGATAGAAACCCTAGCAATTAAGAATGAACAAAATCTGTGTTTCATACGAGGATGTCGGATTTATTTACTTAAAAAAAAAACAAAAAAGTAAAGAAAAAAAAATCAAGTCGACCAAAATAGAAAGCCCGTATTTACTAAATACGTTTTCCATTGTAAACCGTATTTAGCAAATACGGTTTAAATTATAAAACGTATTAAGTGAATACGTTTTCAATAAATAAATATTACGAAAGTTAAATAACGTAATTAACATAATTAAACTGCATAAAAACGTATTTCCTAAATACGTCTTATACTTCAAAATTACCAAACGTATTTCTTTAACACGTTTTTATGTTAAAATTAATTTAATTTTATTTTTGTAATTATAAAACGTATTTAACTAATACGTTTTATAAATAAAATCAATTTTTTCATTTCGTGAAAATAATTTAATTTGGGGAAAAAAATTTGGAACATAAAACGTATTTACTAAATACGTTTTCCTGTGTAATTTTGCCCCAAATTGATTATATTTGCCCTAATTTTAATGTCAACGGAAAACGTATTTACGAAATACGTTTTCTAATTAAAAAGAATAGAATAGAAAACGTATTTAAGAAATACGTTTTCTGTATTAAAAATATATAAAATCCTGTTCACTATGAAATGCACCTGTTTACAACCAAAAAATACACCTGTTCACAACAAAAAAATATACATGCTCACAACAAAATCCATCATACCATAATTCTTCGAACAAACAAATGAAACACAATAATTTGCCGAACAAACAATATATACAAAACGATATAATTCGGTTTATACATACAATCCAACAATTCAAAATAAACACAAAATCAACAAATTCAACACAACTAGCTAGGAAGGAGTGAATGGTTGTGTAGGTTTGCGCGGTCTAGACCCCCTCCTCCGAGTATATACCACGTGTGAAGAAGACGAAGGTGCAGGTGTGAGAAGCGTGTCAGTTTGAAAAGCCTGCTCATCTTCCTCTTCTTCATCTGAGTAATTCAATTGAAAAAAGAAATTATAAATTGAACTATAAAAAAAAAA